ATAAAGAGACAGCATTGGCATAACAGAGGAATCAGACACAGTCATATGCAAGCACTCACAGGCGGAAACAGCAAGAGAATGCTTTATTTGTTACCTACGCTTTTTTTTTCTATCTTCCTGTTTTGTTTATTTTTTGCTATTATTTTGTTTTCTTTTTAGTAGGGTTCGATCACCAATGATCCAAACGTGTGTGTGTGTGTGTGTGTGTGTTGTGTGTGCTGTGTGCGCGCGCGTGTGTGTGTGTGCGCGCGCGTGTGTGTGTGCGTATATGTGTGTGCATACATGTACTTTATAGTCAGAGGGAGAGGAGAGAGACGACAGAGGAAGAGAGAGAGAGAGAGAGAGAGGGGAGGAGAGGAGAGAAGCAGCGAGGAGTGAGGAGTGAGAGAGACTGATGCCGAGAGGAAAGGAGGCCCAAGTGAAGGAGAAGCGAAAAGGAGGAGAGAGACAAGAGGAGAGAAGGAGAGGAGAGAGAGCATCTGAGGAGCAGACCCTGCCGTCGTCGCATAGGTTTATGCCTGAGAGAGGACGAAGGGAAACGCCAGCGATTCGTACTCGACTGAGTGAGAGAGACGACCGAGAGGGCTGGAGGAGGGGAGCGATCGGGAGAGGAAGAGGATAAAAGGCGGGGAGAGGAAGAAGAAGAGGGACGAGCGGGGGAGAGAGAAGAAGGGAGAGGAGAGAAAGTAAGGAGAGAGAGGACAGAAGATGGGAATAGACGAGACGATAGCGGGGGAAGAGAGGGAGAGGAGACAAACGAATGTGGGAGAGGAAGAGAGGTGAGCAAGGAAGCAAAGAAGAAGAGGGAGAAGGATCAAGAGAGAAGGGGACATAGAAGGTAGTAGAGAGAGAGATGGAAATATGAGGCTCATGAGAAGCGGCGAAAGGAAAAGAGAGGGGAACAGAAGGAGAAGATGAGAAGCGAGCGAGATAGGACTAATAAGGGAGGACGGGAAGAAGAGGACAGACAGCATAGCCAGGAAGAGAGACGAGGAGAGAGAGGATGGAGAGAGAGAGAGACGAAGAGAGAGTGTTTTTCTATCCTTTTCTATCTGTTTGCAGCTTAAATCACATGTAATAAATATCGTATCTATTTCCAAGTGTGATATCATAAAACATCTAGTTATTATATCAACAGAAGAGAGGCATTATTTATTACTCGTAGTAATTATGCTAATAAACAAACTGCTAAGCAAATTGATACATAACAAAGGCATTAATTAAATTGATATTGACAACGATACTGTTATTATTACACATAATGCAGATGGTAATGATGTTAGTAATGGTGTTCATTGTGATTTTAAAGATGGGATTAGTCACGCCGACATTAATAAGTGTTTAATCAATGGCGAATTACGTAACGGTAATACTAATCAGACCTGCGATAATGATAAAAAATGATGAAATGATATTGCAAAAGTTCCTTTCTTCTTCTCTTATACTTCACGTGAGGAGAGGAGAGAGAGAGAGAGAGAATGGTAAAGGCCTGGAATAATGATGATAATTAATTTTATTTTGATAATGATAATGATATCCTGAATTGAAATGTTCACAAGAAAAAAATGAAAACATTTATCACAAAAAATAACAATGATCGCGATCTGAGAGAGAGAAGAAAAATGAAAATAAAGAAGAGGGAAATAAGAATAACATGCACACCCACCCGAGAGTATCTCCGTAGCAAGTGCCTTAAATCCAGGTTATTTTCCGGCGTGCTTCAAGATTACTTTCTTGGGAAATCCGAGACAAAGATGACTCGCCTGAGAGATGGGTCAGATTTTTTTTTTTTTTTTTTTTTTTTTTTTTTTTTTTTTTTTGGTGAGGTACTCTGTGCGTTTTTTCTATGGTGTCTGTGGTTTTGTTGTTGTCTTTGTGTTTTTTTCTGTTTTATTTTGTGTTGCTGTTATTGCCATTGTGTTTTGGTGTGTTTCGTTCTCTCTGTGCCCTTGTTTTGTTTGTTCGTATGTCTTCTAATCCCTGATGTGGTTTTCTATCTATCCCCTTCCCGTACCCCCCCCCCCCCTTCTTGTTACTATGAACAAACAAACGAACAAAACACAAAAGTTCTTGGATTCGTACTTATACATTCCATTTTTTATTTATTCATTTACCTATTCATTTACCCCATTTTCTCCCTTACGTGTCGAAATGCACAGAAGCTGAGTTCAGACACGCAGCGGGCGGGGAAGCGCTGGCACCCCCCGCGCCCTCCCAGTGCCACCGTGCCTCTAACGCCCCTCTCGCATTCTCTCCCTCCTCGCAGTGCGCAACCCGTGCCAGGGGCGGAAGTGCCATCACGGTGCCGTCTGCGTGGTCGAAGGAGGGACGCCCCAGTGCCAGTGCCCGGTCGAGTGCCACATGTACAACGGGGCGGCGGCGGCGAGTTCGAGGCCCGTGTGCGGCTCCGACGGCAAGGACTACCCGAACGCCTGCCAGCTGCACAAACACGCCTGCAACACGCAGAGGCACCTCGAAGTCAAGTACCTGGGCAAGTGTGGTGAGTATGTGCGCTGTGGTTTTGGTCACTTGGGTCAGGGAGAGAGACAGACAGACAGACAGACGACAGAACAAGACAGAAAGAGAGGTTTGTATTGTATATGCGATTACGTTTGTTATATTGATGATAGTTATTATAGTAATAATGGCGATTATAATCATGGCTATGATGGTCTCGTCTGTTGATACTGACAGTCATGATCATAATGATATAGTTTTTTATAATAGATAATAATGAGGATATGGATGGTAATGATAATGATAAAATAATGATATGATAATGATTTAATATCATCAAATCATAATGATGTTGATAATGATAATAATAATGGTAATAATAACAATAATAATAATGATAATTATAATGAAATGATGAAATGATAATGGATGTTTAATGAAATGATGATATGAAATGATAATGATATATAATAATGATAATGAATAAAGAATGATACGCGGCAATATATGCTCATTAGCTTTCCGTTTGAAAGGACAAGACTCGAATGCTCAAGCGCCGGCCGATTGATCAAAGCCATCGACCTAATGACCATTAACATATTTTATGGATGGCATGTTTAACGCTGCCAGTTTATGATAGACTGTTGGACAATTTGTTTAAAAGGCGATTAAATCCATGGCTGTTGAGAGCGGACCCTTTGGACTAAGCGGTTTGGTGCCGTTGACTAAATTCATTAATTTGTCAATGTCATATGTATATATGTTTAACATATATGTAAATAATATATATATTATATATATATATATATATATATATAATATATTATATAAGTATATATATATATATATATTTATAGTATATATGTTTATGTATGTATATATATGTATATATTATTATTATCACTATCATTATTATTATCATCATCATTATTATCATCATTATCATCATATCATCATCATCGTCACCATTATTATTATTATTATTATAATTATTATTATTATTATTACTATTATTATTATTATTATTATTATTATTATTATTATTATTATTATTATTATTATTATTGGTGTTATTTTTACCATCACTAATAGTAGTAGTATTGTTGTTGTCATTATCATTATCATCATCATTATCTTTCGTAGTTAGCATTATCATTATTATCATCCCTTAACCTTATCATTTTCATCAACCATCCTTATCGTTATCCTGTCGACACATTTTTTCTGTCGACCCAAACGACGACTTCCTTCCCCAAATAACGATGTCGAGGAAATGTCACGAAGTCCTCCATCCCTTGGGTCTGCCCTTAAGCTTAATCTCCCGAGACTCGTGTGAGAAAATCCTAGTGTCTTTGCAGCTGGTTCGCCACTAAGCTTTATCGCCCAGACGTGTGTGTGTGTGTCAGGAAATCAGTGTGTCGCGCTAGCTTTATCTCTCTGACACATTTAGGTCCTCATAAGCTTCTTTGACACCTCCCCCCCTCCCCCTCCTTTGCTGCGTCCTCTTTCCTCCTCTCCTTCTCGTCTCGTCTCTCCTCTCTCTCTCTCTCTCTCTCTCTCTCTCTCTCTCTCTATCTCTCTCTCTCTCCTCTCTCTCCCTCTCCTCCTTCCTTCCTTCGCTTCTTCGAGAGGAGTGAGAAGACCGCCGTCCCTCGCTCTCTTTCTCCTTATCATATTCTTCTTTACCTACCTCGCTTCTCCCACCCCTGATGCTCGTGCTCCTACTTCCTCCTTCTCCTTCTCCTATTACTTCTTGCTACTCCTATTTCTGATACTATTCCTCGTACTCCTTCTCCTTCTTTTTTCCTTATGCCTCCTACTTCTCTCCTCCCTCTCTCCTCCTCCTCTCCAAGCTCTCTCCTTACCGTCTCCGCTTCTGTTCATCTTTTCTCTTCCTCCACTTACTTTTATTCCTACTCCTCCTTCCCCTTATTCCTTGGTATAAAACTAAGGTGATTTGAACGCTTATTCTTATCCTCTTCCCCCCGTTCTCGTTTGCTATTCCTTCCTCCCCCTCTGCCGCTCCTTCCCACCCATCCCCCTCTGCCATATCACCTTTCATCTCTTTTTTCCCTCCCCTCCCTCCTTCCAAACTTCTCCAACCTCCTCTTCTGCACCTTCCACTTCCCTCTCCCCCCTCCCTTCCTCCCACCTTCCGCCCACCTTCCCTCCCCGTCTCCTCCACCCTCCCATCTCTCCTCCCTCCCCTCCACAAATTCCTCCCTTCCCCCTTCCCCTCCTTTTTCCCCCTTCCACCCTTCCTCCCCACCCTTCCCCCCTACCACCTTCCCTCTCCCTCCTCTCCCTTCTCCATTTTCCCCCACCTTCCCCCTCCCCTTCCCCATCCCCCCCATCTGGACCCCACCCCTGCCCGCCATCTGCTCGGCTTCTTAGGCTCATTTCCTGTCCCGCTGCGTGGAAGATTAGCTCCGCTGCGACCTCGTCTTCGGGAGATCTGTCAGGAGGACGCGATTGGGGGCGGGAGGGAGGCTTCGCGGGAGCAGCTGTTGGGGTGAAGGGGGTGGGGGAAGAGAGGGGTGGGTCGGAGGGAAGGGAAGAGGGGAAGGGATTGAAGCCGAGGGAAAGGGGGGGAGGAGGGGAGGACAGGAAGGGGGGTGAGAGAAAAGGTCTGGGGTGAGGGAAGGTGGGGAAGAGGGGGTGGGTCGGAGGGAAGGGACTGAAAGCCGAGGGAAAGGGGCGGGAGTGAGTGAGGGAAAAAGGTCTGGGGTGAAGGGACATGGGAAAGGATGAGGAGGAAGGACGAGGGAAAAGGGAAGGGCCAGAGTGAAGGGGCGGGAAGGGAAGGTGTGAGGGCAGCAAGGGGAACCAGGGAATGTGCATGTGTTGAAGGATTACGTTTGTGATTGTGAAAGAGAGAGAGAGAGAGATTCTCTGCGTATATTAGTGCATTTATTTTCTACTGCGAAGGTAAGCAGTTTAGGGAGAGATTACAAAATGAGAAACCAAGGAGGAAGATGGGATTGGAAACGTTAAAGAGAAAGCGAAGGAAAAGAGGGGGAAGAAATAGAAAACGGCGAAGAAGAAAAAGAAAGATTAAGGTGGAAGAGGCAAGATGACGATGAAAAGCTAAAAAAGGAAGGAGAGAAGGAAAAGGAGAGGAAGAAGCGAAGAGGAGGAGGAGGATGACCATGCCCATTGATCTTAAAGACGAAGAAACCTCGAGAGAAGGGAAAGGAGGGCTTCCGAGGCCGCCGCAGGGACGTCCCCGGCGAGTGTCGCAGGCGGCGTCAGCCCGTCAGCCGCGATCATTTTGCGGAGAGAGGACTGGTTGCACGCTTTAATGAGGGTCATTAATTACGCAAATGACAGGCCTGAGTAAGCACCATTTTATCGACTTCACGCAATATCGAACATGATAAATCAAGGTGTAGCAGGGAGAGGGGAGGAAGGGGAGAGACGTGCGAGGGAGGAAGGATGAGGAAGAAGGGAGAAGAGATGATAAGGAAAAAAAAGGGGGAAAGGGACGGTGCAAGGTAAAAGGAAGAAGGGGAATAGGGAGAGAAGAATTAGAGATATGAAAGGGGGAAAGCAAAATAAAGGAAAAAGGGGAAAGACGGAATCTTTCTTAAAAAACGAGAGACAATAAGGAGGGAAGGAGGGAGGCGCTACATTTCACGCCCTCGGTCGACGCGGGATTCGACTCATCGACGAGATTGAGCGCCGATTACCTCGAGTTCTTCCACGCAATCGGACGCGACGTAAGTGGCCGCGACTCCTCGACTTCGGCCCAACATTTGGCCTGGGGAGTGAGGGAGGAGGAGGAGGAGGAGGGGGGAAGGGGGTGTCCAGGAGGGGGGGACGGGAAAAAAAAGGGGAGGAGGGGAGAGGGGAGGGGAAGGGGGTTTCTAGGATGGGGGAAGGGAAAGAAGGGGAGAGGGGAGGGGGAGGGAAGGGGGTTTCGAGGAAAGGGGAAGGGAAAAGAAGGGAGGAGGGGGAGGGGGGGGAGGAGGAGGGGGGGGAAGGGGGTTTCCAGGATGGGGGAAAGGAAAAGGGGAAGAGGGGAGAGGTAGGAGGTGAGGGAGGGGAGGGAGCTTCCAGAGGGGAAGGGAAAAGATGGGCTGCGTTTCTAGAAGTGTAAGCTTGAAATGAAGGGAGGAGGGAGAAAAGTAGGGAGATGAGCCGTGGGAAAAGGGTGAGAGAGGGAGATGTTGAGGAAGAGAGGGATGGGTAGAAGCTTCAAGGAGGAGGAAGGAGGGAAGGGAGGAGGAAACCTTGATACGGGCGGGGAGAAGGAGAAGGCTTCCAGGAGGGTTGAGGCAAGGGGGAGGAAGGCTAGGGAGGCTTCCAGGGGGGGGGGGAGGCAAGGAGGGGGCGGAAGGGGAGAGGGGGGGGAGAGGCAGAGGAGGGGGGAAGGGGAGAGGCAGAAGAGGGGACGGAAGGGGAGAGGGGGGAGGGAGGCGAAGGAGGGGGGAAGAGGAGGGGGGCATCAAAGTCGAAGCTACTGAGGCATCCCTAATTTTAGTTAATTGTCCCGTACTTGGATGCTGCCTCGCGGAGCCTTAGGCGGCGGGAGCAGGAGGCCGAGGTACGCGTGAGTCGCTCTTATTCGCTTCATTCCACATCCTGGCCTCTTATCCCCCCCCCCATCCTGTCTTCCTGTCTCTTCCTTTCTCCCCGCCTCGCCTTCCTTTTCTTTCTTTATCCTTCTTTCTTTCCTTCCTTCTGGCGGCCCTTTGCTTTCGTTTGCTTTACTCCCGTTTTGTTTTCTCTCTCTTTTTTACCCTCCCTTCTTCTTCCATACTTTGTCCTTCTCCGCACTTCCTTACGTTTCTCTTCCTCTTCATCATTCTTATCTTCCTCATCCCTTTGCTTCTTCTTGCCCTCCTCACCCTCCGGCTCTCTCTTAACCCCTTCTCCTCCTTCTCCCTTCCCTTTTTATCGCATCCTTCCCTTTCTTCCTTCCTTCCTCCCTCTGCTTCTCCATCCTTTCTCGTCTACTCCTCTCCTCTCTCTCCTCCCTTCTCCTCCCCTGATCTTGGTCCTGTAAAAACATCCGAATGAAAATGAGAATTTACTTTGTGT